ACGCAAGAGTTTCAAGCCTGGATGCAATATCCACAGGCCTCCCTCTGTGTATATTTGCTGTCAGTCTTACATCATGCTTTTATACGTCCATTAGATCCCTCATGAGATGGTTACTCAGTCGCGTAATTCATACGTGGAGGCTGACTTGCATGCACCAACGGTTGGCGAGCTGTGCAAGCAGATGGAAGATGATGATGGAACGTACCAAACTCATATGGAGGGGAGACTTCAGAACCTGCTTAAAGAGGCCCGGGAAAAATCCAAATACTGGGTGTCTTGCAGCAGCTCTGATAACACAGAGCTTTACTATAAGAAGGTTGGTGTTCTTCCTTTTAATTGTAGAGTTATTTCATTATTGTTTTCTATATAATAGTGCATCTAAATAATCCCAGTGTCACTCAAAAATAACACAATGCTTAAGACTGCAAAGATAGATCTTGCATCCACATGTTGACATGAAGTTTTTGTCTGTGTGTCCCATCCAGGTAGGAGATGGGAACCCTTTGAGACGCTGGCGAGTGTCTGTGGAGGTGGAAGCACCACCATCTGTAGTATTGAACCGTGTGCTGCGAGAGCGCCACCTGTGGGATGTGGACCTGCTGCAGTGGAAAGTGTGTGAGACATTGGACAAGCAGACAGAAATGTTTCAGTATGTCCTGAACCGCATGCCCCCTCATCCCAGCAGGGACTTTGTAGTTCTCAGGTGAGTGGTGATAAAAGGAGCTAAAATTTGTTTTGGAAGTAGCCATCATTTATTTTCTTTCAGGGTACTTAACCTCTTTCTCTTTCTTCAAGGTCATGGAGGACTGACTTGGCCAAAGGTGCCTGCTCCCTGGTTTCTGTGTCTATAGAGCATGAGGATTGTCCTCCTGTTGGAGGTGTGCGAGCTATAGTGCTGGAGTCCAACTACCTGTTAGAGCCCTGTGGCTCAGGAAAGTCCAGACTAACTCACATCTGCAGAGTGGATTTGAAGTAAGTCCCACAGTCATCTTATTGAAAGTTTCTTTTTTCCACATATAAAATACATACATTTCTACATTTGTATTTGAAGTTCCTTATAGTCTCCTTATTCCTTTGTATGTTCCTGAATGCTATAATATAGTGAATATACTTTTGATTTCAGGGGAAGGACTCCAGATTGGTACAACAAAGCCTTTGGTCACCTTTGTGCCGCAGAAGCTGCCCGGATCCGCAACTCCTTTCAGCCACTAATCACAGACGGCCCAGAGACCAAAATCTGAAACTCTTTGCCAGTTGTGCCTGCTCAGCCTTGAAATCAAGATTGAGCCTTTGAGTCACTGCTAACAGGCAGACACAACGCATAGACAGGACCCCAGAACTAAAGCACAGTTTATTCAGTTTTTTTTTTCCAGAATAAAAATGCTCTGAAAGTAATTTTGAGCTCCTCTGTACTTGCACAATGACAAAAGAGGACATCTTATAGGTGCTGAGCATAATTACTCAATGGGAAATTAATCATCCTGCCAATGTCCTTAGCATTAAGATTTTATTTACCTTCATGTTGCTAAACCTGTATATTATGATAATTATTATCTTTAATAATATTGTATTACTGTTGCTTTAATCTACAATGTCTAGGACATTCAAGCTCTTAAACGCTTCTGGGAAGCATGTATATGTTATTGGTTTCAGATTTAAAGCTATAATTATTATGATGTAGACTCAAGTGTCTGTATATATGTGTGTGAATATACAAACAAATATGTATATATTGTAAATATGTGAAGGGATACATAGTACATATGTTAATATCCTATATATTGATTATTTCTGTGTCAACCTTCCTGTAATACACATGGTACAAAATTGTAAGCTGGTTTTACTTTGCTTCAGTATTGCCATTTTGGAATGGGTGTAATTTTATTCAACTTTGACCTCCAGTGGTTGTGAAAAGAATGACTTAAGGTTTGACTTGATCATACCTGCTTAAGGGTACTGGATTGTGCAGTCAAGTACAAGAGACATCATTTTTTAATAAAATTATCAAAATCATAAAACATTTGTATGCACTGATTCCTAATCTTGCTGCCACATCAAAAAGATGAAACAAGAAATTGAAAGAAATGATTCAGTAATGGACATCTACTGACCTGTGAAGGAGTCTAAATACCTGTTATGGACAATTAGTATTAAAATGTGCCAGTAATGCTGAAATGTCTGCAATCCACAAGCATGTATACTTTTCATATGCACTGACTTGGTCTGACACTAAACACCTTTCTCCCTGATCTGGGATTAGAAGGACCTCTACTGGCCATTCAAAGAAAACATGTGACTGCAGGCAGTCCACATGGGATGATGGACTTGCAAGGACATCTAATTTGAGCTTTCAACTCAGTTAATGCAAACATAACAGTGATTTGAAATTAAAATTCAATGAGAAGTGAAATTAATTTTGTCTGACATTTCCTTACAAATTGTATGGAAAGGGGGAAATGTGTGCTGAACACAGAAAATTGTATTGCATTGTATGTTGTCCACTAGATGTCCCTTTCTCATCAGCAGCATGTATGTTCTCCTGAGACAACATTATTGAAGTGCCCTCTTTTTACTGGTATTTTCACTTATTTTCAACAGGTAAGGGTAAGAATATCCACTCCTAAAATATCTAATGGGGAAGTGTTCATGCCAGTGATAATGAAGCAACTTCTATAGTAATTCTTAAGGTCTATCTATGCCCATTTTGTAATGTACTAAAATACAGTTTGGCTGACGGCATGAAAAATGATGACCATCTGGTATCTATTTAAAACCTTGAGGTTGTGGCAGCTTAGACATGATGACAGTATATAAAAGGATCATTCACTAAAACCACTACAGAATACAGTGAGATGCTGCTGTGGCAGACCTTACTGAAATGATCAGAATCAGTCAGAAATACTTTATTGATCCCGTGGGGGAAATTTGTCTGTTCATTACATGAGCAGTGCCATAGGTCACTGAGTCACTGAGTGGATCTGCTCGTCTGATTCAGTTCCCTATGTATTCTCTGTTTGCATGGCAATGTCAAACCCTCTCCACTGACCTCTATTCAGCACAGAAGATTTTATGGTTCTCATTGGAATGGGGACCAGCAAGCATAATAGAGGGGATGGGAGGATGGGAGGGATTTAATTCATGGTAGTGATTTCCCACTGACATTAAAAGAACATTTTTAGATACAGTGTAATGTTGGGACAACAAAATGAAAAAAAAAAAAACACACACAAAGGACTAATACCTTAAGGGCACAATAGCTATAAAGAAACAATGCCTTATTCAACTCAGCACATTAAGTTGTCATTTGCTAATCCAAAGATAAAGCATGCTGAAAATAATAGCACACGAGGCTACAGTGAAATAAAAATAACCAACATCACAGGAGGAAATAATATTGCATTTACTCATTGGTGAGCAGGCTAAATAATCAGAATTCCAATTGTTCTGCATTCTGTACAGTAGTATACCTGATAGGTAGCTAAATAAATCCTGATGTTATTTCTACCGCTTTTGAAGCCATGCTGACACAGATCAGCTTAATGAGGTCATGAAATGCAAGCTCAGCTTCTGGCTGTCAGTCAGGACGATGGACAGGATTGCCAAGCTGTCAGTGTCTGTCACTTTTATATAACCACTGGAATCTGGTGGCTTTTTGTTATGTTATTTGTTATTACTGTAGATCTGTTTGGGTTCCTACATTTTTCATGTCAAGGACCACCATAATAGATGTACATTAGACCAAGGATCCTCACTTTGATAGGATTTTTCTCTAAGGAATCACCTCCGAGTATGTTTTTTATTTGCAGGTTTGAAGATAATAAAGTCTTCATAGTTAGTGATCAAACTGGGATCACTATAAATTACAGTCAATGAAAAGGGTCAGCCCAATTTCTTTCCTTGTTGTGCAAACTTCCAAAAAATGTGATAAAAGTTAAAATATTCTATTCTCCCTTTAGCTGGGGACACCCTACAACCCCCTCAAGGACCACTGTTGTTTCAATATGAGATATTGGAGAAGTCAAATGTTTTTATTTCATACTTCCATGGTTGGTTTTAAACAAAAGAAAATAGCCTGGGTGGCTCTTTATGTCTCTTAATTAACTAGTACCCTTTTAATAAAAGCAAACCATTACACCATTTCGTTAAAATAATAGCCACTGTAATGCATTTTTACATGTTCATACAACTCAGACCGGGCTACTGGTCCTTAAATTCCAAAATGGCATGATTGTTGTATGCTTTCAGACCTACAACAGTGGACCATCATGGCGACAAATTGACAAAACTTACTGAGTGAAGGATAATGGTGTTTTGTTTTTTTGAGAATATTTTTTTTGGAGAACGTAATCCATTAAACCATTAGACACAAATGGCCAAATAGTATAAACACAGGACTGCCAAATATATGACCACTTTGAAACCTTTCACAGTTGGGCTAAAATTGTACACTTTGGTAAACCAGTCGCTGCGTAAACGTTTAACTTCTGAGGGGGGTTGCAGGTGTCTTTAAAAATCTATAGGGAAACACCTTGAGCATAGCACCAATATCACTATTCAATTTATGTGTGCCAGCTCACTACTGGAACTACATGGAACAAAGCCATCAGTAATGTTATTAGGTACACCTGTGCTGTTCCTGCTATGACCAACCATAGATAAGCTCTGTTAACATTTTTTTCAATTTGGAAAGATTTTATATTTTTATTACTTTTATTTTAAAAATTTCAAATTTCAAAATTGGCTATAATTGGCTGAGCCTATATTCTTTTGCATTCAGACAGGAAACAAGTCAGGTAACTTCCGGCAGCCAGCTTTGTTTTGGAATCAAGCTTAATTCTTCCGCAGTAGCTACCTTTAGTTTAATTAACTAACTTTATTTAAAAAACGGTCAGCGCAGGCGTGCTGAGTGGAACCGCAGGCAGGGGGCGGCAACATGGCGGTGACAGCAGCGCAGACACGGAGACGCGCATCCAAGAGAGCGGCACACACACACATCTCTGTGCACACAGCGCAGGTCGGTCAGCTCTGTTAACCGGGTGGCACCGACAACACACCGGACTCCCTCACCGGAACTCTCGAGAGTGGATTTTACGGACAGAGAGTGATTTCTTGTGTTTTGTTTTTGTTTGTTTTTTTTCGTTGGGCTTCGCGAGTGTTTGTCTCTTCTATTTCTTTTTTGCTGCCCCGGAGCAGTGATCCAGTTTATTACAAGAGGAAAAGCGAACAAGTGACATCTAAAGCCGCCCGGTTTGGGTGGAAATGACAAGCGAGAGACCGGTGACAATGCCGGGCTCGGTGTCGCTCTCGGACCGACAACCTCCTCCAGGTCACCGGCAACACGCGGCCGCAGTCTCCGCTGCCGCCGGTGAGACAGTGATGATGTCCGGCTCAGGCTCAGTGCTCCTCCCGGCTGGGATTATGAATCCATCGGTTCCAATCCGGAATATCAAAATGAAATTTGCTGTTGTCATCGGACTGATCCAGGTTGGAGAGGTTAGCAACCGGGATATTGTTGAAACGGTGCTGAATTTGGTAAGTGATGTTTTCTTCCCCTGCTCTCACTCTATGACTGGACGTTATTCCCTAATCCTAAAATCCGGAGTGCTGTTCAGTGGCAACAATAACAGAATATAATGACACATAACAGAACCATGCTTCTAACATCGAGACGGTGCAAGATGATGATGATTAAATGATTTGGAGTACTGTTATGAGTGAGTGCCCCGGGATATGTGCAAGTCACACAGGCACGCAGACCAGGTGGGTTGAGGGATGAGGGGATGAGGGGATGAGGGGATAGTGATACAAAAACCACCTCTCAAGTTTCCAAGTTCAGCAAAGTCCCAGCTTCACTGTGTTTGCTTGTAAATGAAACAGACTTACCTGCTGGCCTTAAAGTGCAATGTGAGCTCTACATAGTCTGCTGCTGCACAGTGTATTTCAAATGGCATTTGTGTTTGATGTAGAGTGATGTAGGGGAACAGAGGCGGGGGTTTCTAATGCTGCTGTGGGTGTGTGAGAGGAGGGGGGTGAATTTAAGGGGGCCCAGAGCTGGGGGGTCCCCATAACATGCTAGGGACTATAGCTGTTGGTAAGCTGTTTTCAGGGAGCTCAAAATTGCTAGCACCCTAATTTGGGGGTTCAGGATCCGGTCAGTGTTTGGAGATAATTTGGTTAGTGCAGCTTCTCCGCAGCGTGTTGAAGAGGATGAAGTGTGTCCTAGAGCTGCTTCTACTCAAGTGTGAGTGGAGTTTGATGATGATCATCCTCTCCCCAGATTCATATTGACCCAGAGAGTATTTTTCTGTTTTTTTTTTAGCTTTTTTTCCTCCACTTCACTTTTAAATACATGCAGGCCTGAAGAGTCAATTTTCATCATTCTCATTGTACGATTATTGTTATTACAGCTGCAGCAAAGTGAGAGGAGAGTGATAAACAATTATTGTCAGCACAAGGTGGTTGTAAATTTAAACCCATGACAAGACCAGGATTAGCAAATGAAGTCAGTGTCCTCCTTTGGCATTAGTGTAACATGATATTAGACCCCAGAACAGACTTAATACCTTTGCTTTGACCATCTGCAGGTGTGCTACAGCAGAGCTTGTTTGCAGAGGTTCGCCTCTCCTTGTTAGCACACTAGAGATTAATTACAACCTGTTCCTGCGCAACAGAAATCCACTTTGTGGAGCAGGGCAAATTGTAGCCCTTGGCATGTTCAGACATGAGAGTAGTGCTGCGATGGCTGGAGTCTCAGTCTGACACCTTGCCCTCTTACACTTTAGACTGCTATTTTCCCGGAAAATGTGCTCAAGGAAAAACCCGCTGTGGTCTACACTGATTTTTGTCAACACTCTTTGTCCAGACAATAGAATGCATATTTATTTCCACCGTACACTGATGTTGTTTTATCAATTTCTCAATTTAGCTTTATTCTGTTGACTTATTGAATGCAGAGCAGTGTCGTCACATCGGCCTTTTGCTCCTCTGTGCATGTTTGTTTCAAAGTAAACAGTGGACTCTATCCAAACGTCTGTCAGTCACATACATGTTCCAAACTTTTGAATGACAGATTCAATTAACAGATGATATTACTGCTTTACTGTGCTTAGCTATTTAGGATATCAGGTTCATTTTTAGTCTACTTGAGTTGTTTGCAAACACAAATATGTCATATCTGTCTCTCCATCTAAATTACATCACTAAATTAACATGAATAATACCGACCAGGGAAGAGGGTGCAGAAAGCTGTCATAAAAACAAGCCTTCTGCCTGTAAGATGCCATGACTACAGGATTTTTTTATGCTTATAAGTTCAGGTTATTTTTGAAGTGCAGAGAGGGGCTGAAGATCCGGAAGGATCCTTAACTGTTTCTCATGGGGTCCAATTTGTGGAGTAATGAAATAATAATGTTTTTCTCCATCTCCAAGGAGCATCTCGGGAAAATTGTGTGCAGAGGATCCTGGTCTAAACATATATCAAGAAGAAATGGCTTATTCTGTTGCCAAGATGCGAAATTTGATGATAAAAGGGATTTGATATTTCTGCTTCTTTACCAGAATGAGAATCTATATACAAAAGAAACCAACCTTAGATCTTAGAGATGGGACATCAGGCATGTCATTAGATTTATGAAATGAGCTAGACACAAAACAACTTCAGAAGATAAAGCATTTAATTACAGTGCCCCAGAACTGTGAGCTCTGTACCAATTCTTCACTCTATGCCACATATTTATGTCTCATGAGAATGACATTAACTAATTAATTCACTGCATTATTCCTGTTTAGGCTCATGATGATCTGAAGCCTTTCTAGATATATTACGAGCAGAAGTCGAGACACTGAACTGATTTTCTGTGTATCTCTGGATTGACACAGCAGCCAGTTTACATACACACACATAACAAAAACCCAAATGCTATATTATAAAAAAGGTATTTAATTTTAATATTATGATCATAGTGTGATAATGTCTGTTAAAGTAGTCAGCAACAATAGAATTACTTTGTTGAAATACGATGTGTGTATGACAGCCCAGTTATGTCTTTCCTTATTAGATCATCGGATCGAATTATTGTCCCTAAGATGCTCCCTATGGCATCCCACTTGTTTTCTATGTTTTTTAAGTCCTAACCATCAGCAGCTTTTGTCAGCTTCACATAAGGCTAAGGCTGCTCACAAGCTCTGATCGTAAATATAGGTCATACACCTAATCAAATTTGGTATTAAGCGAGACCATAGTCCTTGTCTCCTAACCATAATGTTGGAAACAAAGTGGATTTGACTCATTGCTCTGTCCAAGATTTGAAAATAGGAGTGAGTATTTCGACTTTGTGGAAGGTGGTTAAGTCAACAGCAAGTCAAGTATGATCTGATGGATGATGGAAAGAGGTGTGAAAAGAAGATAGTGTGACGTATGAAATTAGCCAACACAACACATCTTCATCTTGATCCTGACGTTTGGGAGTAACACAGGTCTCATGTGCTATCAGTATCAACCAAGTGGCCAACACAGAAGTAACAAAAACGTGATCTATCTCCATAAGGCCCCATATTACAATGTCCAACTTTAAAATAGAAATAAACATGTTTACAGCCTGGTACAAAAAACAGTTTGGGTTTCTATCACTGAATTTCCCATTCATGACAACTGTACAGAGGGGGGATTTATATATATTATAGCATCAAACATACTTGAGTGGTCAGTGTTAAAAGTGGCGGACACCTTCTTCTATTATAGTACATTTCGAGTGAAGTAGATTTAATAGACGTAATTGAAGTCAGAAAACAATCACAGTGATCTTGATTTTGGATATGGACGTTTATTTAGTTTGACAAATT